GGGGTTCCACAAATACCACCGTGTGTCAGCAATTGTTCCACACGCACACCCAAAACGGCTGAATGCATCACGACACTGCAGTTCTAATTCCCATAATTTCATAGCTGCTCTGTCTGACCCAGAGTCCTCCAGTGCAGGTCAGTGGGCAGTGTTGGCATCCCAAGGATCAATGTTTGCTTATTTCCTCTAGGGGGCGCAAGGACACACAACTCTGGACGACGCTATTTGCTCCAGGGGAAAAAAACAATGACAAGTGCAGTAATGCCGGTCGGACACAAACACAACATTGTGTGAATACAAAGGCGTCTTTTCCTGGCGACCGGGGGGGGGAAGTAGGGGAATAAAGGTTAATACAGGATTAGCTGCAAGCAAATGCCTCACTCACCAACACCAGACGTATGGAAAGGAAGAGACTCTGAGCAGGTAAACTGAGAGACAGACATGGTTTGGCCAGCAAACAAAAGGCAGAGCAGAGGACGCCTGAGATTAAACAGGAACCATCCTGGGTCTTCCTGGGACAGAACCAGCGAGTCAGTGGTACCGGCAACACGAGCATGCGCAGTCAGTGTTAGCCCGCAGATATATACACACGCACATACACAAATATAACCAATGAGCAACCTTTTTCAGCCTTGGTGTTTTTTTCTATCTTGGCGGAGGGCTGCAATTTGCTCCGATCCCGAGAGAGGGAGGAGCTTCTTTTCTTCAAGGCGGAGCCTACAAACAGGAGGAGGGACAGGGAGGCATTAGGGCCTCTCAAAGAGACTCGCAGGGTCAGGCTAGGACAGCATGCGGAAAACGTCACCCAAACATCGCAGGAGGGGACCTGCTTCTTGTCAACGAGCCACTAAACCTGTTCATTTACTGGTATACAAATAAAATATCAGAGCGAGAACAACAGCCTTTTGCATAACGCAAGGTTATCCTCAGTCCCTCTCTGGCTAACAAGTGAACCTACAATACACTAATGTAACGTCATGTTATTAATCTGAATTACTTTAAAGCAAAGGAATTTATATTCATACAAATATCTATCAGTTAAAAAAAAAAAACAAATTTCCTTAGGCTTTATTGCAAGCCAATGCAATAAAAAGTTGCTCTGGATTAAAAGGCCTTAGTAAGCAACCATTTGAACTGTTATATCCTGGTAATGGAAGTAATTCCAGCAGACACTGCTCTATAATGGCTGTACTCAGCAAGAACAAACTTACAGCCACGTGGGCCTTCGATTATAAATCACATGCCAAAACTGATGACATCAGACACAGATACAAGTGGATTCAGGCCAAGAGCCAATCCAGCTCAGTTTTGCAGAGATATAGCAGCAGCCGGGGGGAATATGATTTTATATATATACAGGTCAGCCGGGCACAAGGAAAACGGTATAATGCACAGCCAGTATGCTGGCAAATGGAACTATGCGTGTTCATGGAGACAAGCGCTTCCTTTCATGGAACTGGAGTTTCTAACCCATGAATCAAACCTGACTAAGCTACCACAAGTAAAGCAAGTACTGCATGTAGATGTGCAGGTGTGAGCTGGAGGAGGAGCTGCACCTGTGGGGGGGCCCAGAAGTGGTTCCTGGGATTCCTTTGCTGATTGGGAACCATTGCTAGGTAACCGGTTCAGAGAGGAGCTCCGCCGTTTAACACCTGGGAAACGAGGAGAGCACACCTCTAGACGCGTGAGGAGCAGGGTTAACAGGAACAAACCGAAAGGAGAGTCAGGAGAGTCATTTGACACGACAGCTCGAGTTGATCCCAGGCAAGGGGGAGGGAAAGGGAGGGTGGGCACAGTTAAGACACGCCACTGAAAATGACCTTACCGACTGCTAGCTGGGGGGAAACAAAACTCAAGACTGAAAACAAGGGTCGGGGGGAAAAGAAACTCAGACTCTTCAATTGCTGCAACCGAAGTGCCACTTTGCCCACTGGTATAGGTCACAAGCACATGAACGGTGAAGGTGAAGCAAGTGTATTTTTACAAGCAAGCAAACTGAAAACTGGGAGCCAGGGTCAAAGAGTGTCACTGGGTCTGGACTTGTGAGTCGGGGGCCAGCGGGGGGGGGGTGTGCTGTGTTACTTACTCTTGTCAGGAGAGTTGATTAGAGCAGCGGAAGAGGATGACAAGCGCTTGCTGATGCCAGAGTCTGCAGACTGCTTTAGATTCACAGTAGAGCTGGAACGCTTGTCAACTGGCAGAGAGAGACCAGAGAGGAAGTACATTTTAGGAAGATGGGGTCAGAGATGAGCAGACAGTGGGCACTGAAGCAGGGCTGAGCCCCCCCCCCCCTCTGCACAGCCAACAGCTTCCGCTCAGTCCGGCCAAAATAAGGCATCAGCTCCAGCGAGATGGAGGAAAAAAAACATCACAGAAAAGCCCATTATGGAAGAAAATTCCATTCGCCGGCGAGACAAATCTCAGATCGTTGGTCTGCCAAGCTGACCAGCTTTAAGCACCTCAGACTCACAGCCCAGACAATGTGCTTGTTGCTAACCAGCAAGAACAGGAAAACAAAATTGAGACTTTTGCATTACAGCACATGGAAAAACAAGTATGCATGCATGGAGACACAAACACCGACAGTGCATTCTTCAGTGTTGTACTGCAGTATAGCATTAGTGACGCCCGCACATGCTTCCCATTGGAGGAATGTAGCCTGTGACGACCCCTGACCCGGAAGGGCTTAGTGAGTTGATTGCAATGAGGGAGCAACACGAAACTGAGAACCAAAGGGGCAAGTTAGTGGGGCAGGAAGAAAACGTGCACGTGCGTGCGAACAAGCTGAGAGAAAATGCCAGTGCTTCAAAATCCAAGGGGATAACAAGCACCTTGCGTCTTCTGGGGGCCCTGGGGTTCGGAGGGGGGTGCTATGCTAGCTAGGGGGGCGGGGCCTGCCGCCTCAGAGTCACCTGCAGGGCGAAAGGGCTCACTCAGGCCACATGGCAAACATGGGGGGTCAGAGTCAGTGGCTTAGAGTCTGCAAGTCAGACAGCTCCTGCAAGTAGAACATTTACGGCCCAGATGACCCACACACAGCACTGCTGACCTGCTTCTTTCTGGGAGAGATGGGTCAGGATTTAATATACATCCAAACATTCCTGGTGTAAAAACTCTATATTCTCACAGGAAGACGGCTGTGGCTTTAACCAGGAAGTCCTCACCAGATTTCTGGGGGCCGTCAGCCGTCAGGCCGCCTCCCCAGGACCATCTTTTCTGCCTCAGCTCCAGGCGCTGGCTGCGTTCAAGTGTGCGCCTCACCACTGCCTCATAGTGTTCCTGTGGCAGACGTGAGCATTCAGAACATACCGGAGGGCGACGTGCACTTGAAAAGGACATATCCAACACAGCCAGACAGGAAGAGCGGTATGCTAAGCAGCCCGTCACTCACGTGCCAATAACTCGCCATACGCACTGTGAGCTGGGGAGGGAAAACGGACCCACAAGTGTCAAATTTCAGTACAGGAGCCTCTGCAGTCACGCAGAGGACAGTAGAGGTGAGAAAGCTTGCACGCCAGAGCAGAAGCTACCTACCTATTTATACACCAGCCCATATCATCCACCACCCAGTTACCACAGTAGTGCACTAAACAGTCACAATGTACTGGAGAATCAGGATGACCCACAGTAACACACTGACCTAATCACCGACTACATAATAATACCCTTCACCAATCATATTCCTGCTTTGTCAGATATTTGCTTTTATTTTTGCCATATGAAGGATTCAGTTGTACCCTAACCTTTGAAACACACCATCACTGAATACAGAGATACCTTCTGCCCAGCTCACCAGCATCAACCAGAGTACACCAACCTTCTCCTCTTCCAGCTTCTGCCTGCGCTTCTCCTCCACGGCGACGCGCCGCTGCTCCTCCCGCTGACGCTGCTCCCCCATCTTGCGCTGCCGCTCCTCTAGCTGCCGCTCGTACTGCAACTTGGTCTTGCGCTCCCTTTCCTCGATCTGCGATCCGCGTGCCGCTGAGTGGGCATGGGGAAATGCGTCTTTACCGATGTGGCACGACCAACAGCGGGCAGCCAGAACCTAACGACTACTTCGAGATCACAGGCAGGAAACAGGGCAGGAATCCCGGATGCACTACCTATGGGGCATGGGAATATTGCCACCACTTACCCTGCTGCCTTTCCTGTTCCTCCCTCCGCTCTTTGGCAACCCTAAGCTTGTCGTCTATCTTCAGTGATGCTCCATCTAGGACTAACAACACAAATGCCAGCATGACCCACACACACAATCCTTAGTCACCTATTATTGCACTCCACCCCAAAATCTTTTTCCTGAAATCCCCCCCCACCCCACCATTCTGATACAAAAACAAACTGGACCAGCATGGCTTATGACTACAGCACAGACACAATGGCTATAGTGTGCTGCTCAATGAACTGGCAGTAGCTCAAAACACATGTGAAGACCCTTACCAGGCCGGGCACCTGGGGGCTTGGCACCGGCTGGCGTTCCCACCGTTGACGCTGACACCGGGCTGCTAGCGGCCTGAGAGCGGCGCTCGTCTGCTTCTGCCTGCGCAGCTGCAGCTAAGGAGATATGGGGCCAGTGCAGAAGACAGATATTACTTAACAGAAATGCCACACCAGCTGCTTTCCAGCACTACATGCCCAGTGCCGTTATATTCTGCGGTATGCAGGGTTTTATGCCTGTTTGAGAAAGACCCAGCAGCCTCACTTCGGAGTGTCAGTCCATGTCTGGACTCGTCAAACCTCAGGACTGGCCCCTGCTTGCCAGGGAGGAAATCTTTTTTTAGTGATGCACAGATAAGGGAATTTCTGGCCGATACCGATAGCCGATTATTTTGAAAACTGACACAGATACTGAAGGCTCTGCTTAAATATGTTTAAAAGGGACACTCCACCCAAGTTAAAAAATAAATGATATTCCAAAAATATAAGTACTTCATATTTCTTGGTAAGAAAACACCAACTCAGGCATACAACAGTACAAGCGCACTATGTTTTAAAACTCTATAGATCTTATATATTTATAACATTAAAGAAAGAAGGACTTGTCAAGGTCTATAAACTGAGTAATTTTCCGCGCAATATCTTTTGATTTTGCACTGTCTGCACTGAATTTTCTTTTGCTGTCAAACGCTTGCGTTACTGACAGATTAGCGTTATCCGGCGGTACTGCAGCCCTCTTCATTGAAATGGATGTTTTCTCAGACACCCTACACACTTTTCACTGTCCCGCCTTAAGGTGACCAATCAAATTTGTTGTTTTGAAATGCTGATTAGTGGATCCTCCTCGTGCAATTTTAGCAGAGCAATGTTTGCAAAATGCATTTCTAATGCCATTTTAGCAAACATTAAAATAATTCCACACAGCAGACATTTGTCTAAGTGTTTAGTATGTGGGGGTGCAAAGTATTATGGGTCGCCATTTTAAAAGGAATTACCAGCGATAAATTTTGGCTCATTTTAACCATCAGCCAATACTAACAGTTGGCGGATAAAATAGGTGCATCTCTTTCTTTCCAAGGGGGTGGGGGTGTTCACAGGATTAGACTGCAAACTTTTGTGTAAAAAAAAGCTTCACCCATTTTTATCATCAGTTTAGAGACTGGGTCAGAACTGAAACTATTTAATTACGGACACATAGCATAGAAACTGGATGGCACAGAAATTGTACCAAACCCTAATCCCATGGATGACCTACAGACTGATAAAAAAAAGATCCTATTCATCTTCAGCTCACTAGTACAGTGCAAAAAGCCCCAAGGAGGAGCTCGGATGACTGCAAGACTGAGCAAGGTGACTTGGGGATACAAGCTCACAGCCCCTCATAAGCCCGCAAGACAACTATAGGCAGAACTGAATAAAAACAAACATCTCTAAGGAATGTCCTGCTGCAAGACCCAAGGTACCGGAAAAACCATATCTAGCCCAGTAAAATGTTATTCCATAGATCATTCTAACAGCATCTTCTTGGAAAATGTCATCAGCAACCTTCAGCTATTTAATTCCTGGATTTTGCCTTCAACGGCAATAGAAGAGGGGAAACTGCAGCAGAAAGCATTCTTCAAATATTTAATTAAACGTGTAATTAAGTCTTCTTAAAAACCTAAAAGCGAAGCAATAAGCATACCTAACCTCCTAAAATAAATAAATAAATATATTTTTGAATAAATGTGACCCTCAAGGCCTGCAAGGACTACCCTCTATGCCAAGGCTAATCCAATCACGGTCCACAAGGTCCAAGCATTATCACCCTGATTTACCAGCCTTCCTTTACCCGTGAACCGGATGTGAAGCATCTGTGACCAATCAGAATCAGTAATTATTAAACTAACTACCTAGGAGAACTGAAAATAAGGCCTGGATTTGGAACAGAGGTCCAGATTTAAAGAGCCCTGCTCAATGCTAAGTGACTGATGTCATTGAACCACTCACTGATGCTGCCAAATTTGTGCCAGTTTTAGCGAGCTGTGAGGCGAGTGCAAATGGCCAAATCAACCCACAAACAGCATGGATCCCACTCCCAGCCTGGCTTTTGGTTTTATGGAAAAGTGCAGATGTCGCACTGGGAAGACTGGTGGGTGCTGCTCCCTCTGCAGACTTGGATGTTTTTCAGCCATTTGTGAAACTTAAGGTCTCCAGAGCACACAGAAAGTATACAGACAGAAAGCACACACAGCCGTTTAGTCCTGTCAAACAAATGGTAGATGCACCATTTCACACCAGAACCATACACATTATGCTACTTCTGCCCAGGACAAGGAAACAAAGGGGACTCCTGCAAGTCATGGCTTGGAAACTGTTGCCAGGTGACAGTCACAGGTTCCGTGGAAACCAACACCAAGGTCCTCAAGCACACAAACCCCACAAATGAAGTCACGCTAAAGCCGTCACTATTCTTAACAAGACAAGCTGCCAATCCAGAGTGAGGACAATGGCCACCGTCTCCTATTGACCAGTGGGTCTGAATGAAAGCCTTGCTGGCCTTCTAGGTTGTCAGAATCATAAAGCACAAGAGATCGGAGAGCCACAAGAGAAGTGCCTCAATGCTCTAATAAAATGGGCTAGCATTACCTCAGACAGCACACGAATTCAGTCTGCCAAGTACTGCAGTCAAAACATTTCAAAGAATAATAGGTACCTCAGGGTGATGCTGTACATGGAAAGACAGCCAGCAACATTATTTTTCACCAGCTGATAGGAGTAATTATTCCAGAATATCACTTAAGGCTGGGCTGCAGATTGCACCCAATTTTGTGGCACATGCAATCAAAGATCTGCTGCGTGACTAAATTTTTTCCTTGGGTGCCCTTATATCATCTGTTTTTTTTTCAGGGTCAGAGCCAGTCAATCTCAGCCATATACCCAGGATACAGTAAAACGAAACATTGTTGCACTAGGACCAAGGTGGACAGAAAAGGACAGAAAAAATACAGGACTACACAGGTGGAATATACAAAACAACATTACTTACAACATTTATTAATACCTTAAATCGATATTTGGGATTTTGCATTACCATTATATGCATTTAATTGCAGACCTAGGCCTAATTATATTACACGTAATCCAGACATCTCTTTAAAAACCATTCGTAATCGTAGTCTATTTTATTGATATAAATACTAGCTGCCGCAATAGAGTTAAATATTGGCTACACCAATCTAATAAAACATGCAGGTTATTGGTTGGCTAAATGTAAATGATTTAATTAAAATAAAAACATACCCGTTTAAAAACATTTGTTGATTTAGGCCTATTTTATTAACGCTCGTTGCTGCTATTGAACTAAATATACATTAATAATCTAATAAAACACAGACTATCAAGCTAAATGTATGTAATTTTTAATAATAACGGCTTTAAAACATTCGTAAATGAACAGTTTCAGAAATATTGGTATAAGAAACACATCCTGTGTCATGACAAGTGTGTGACCACCAGAGTGGCCCCCTACCCTGCAGTATTTCAGCGTCAGGTAGCGGCAAACTGAAGCTTTTTCTATAAGTATCCGGGAGCAGCAACACTTTTGAGAAGTTTTGACTCATCTGAGTTTTTGAAATTTTCAGTTTGTTACGCACTTTAAACATAGCGCACTTTAAGTTTTGTTCTAAAATAAAGCTTTTGCAATTTTTTTTGTCTGTGCTGTGATTCAAACAAAGACAAATATTTACCGGCACCTTTATTCCTAATTATAGTCATTTACGTAACTAGAAACGTGTATGTGGAATGACAAAAAGGTGCCGCTTAAAAAGCATTATTGTGGCGCTAAAGGCACTGTGAAAAATTTGGGTGCACCTGAATGAAGAGAGTTAGGCGCACCAGTGCTACCAATGCAACGCGTTATTCTGGAACCCTGTAATGGCACAACAGCATGGCCTAAACTTGAAGCGTTTCATACCACCAGCTCAGTTAGCTCACGACTATGTAATCTACTGGTAAAATAAACATTACAGTAGCTGAACACCACCAGAAAATAGGTCTTGTGGAGGATTTTGTTTTTTTTTTTGTTTGTTCATTTAAACATTTACAGTTGTAGCCAATCCCAAAGCTCAAATGAAAGCAGCTTGAAAGTCATCTAGAGAAGTCCAAAGGTCTAAGGCCACTGAATTTGTGCATGTATTAAGCACTAAGGAGAGCTTGGTTTCTGCTGCACCTTTGGCTCCTCAGACTGGCTTCCGGCACAGCAACAACAGGCTGGAGATGATACGATAAGGTCAATGACACGCATGCCAGTCAGGAGATATTGGACACAAAAAGAAGCAGAAAACACAAACATTCTGTGAGGAGATCAGAGTCTAGTCAACCCCCATTCAGCAACACCTACTATGGTTAGGGATTAGTGCTCAAAGTCTAGAAAAAGCACAGCCACTGGGATGAAGACATGCTGCATACGAGCAACTGAGTGGGGCCTTGTCGCCTCGAACGTTCCCAAAGAAAAAGCAGCACACACAGCAGCCTCTGTGCATTCACATTAGTGACATCACATGAGCTGCAGTCCAAATGCAAGAGCCACACAGAAAACAAATGTGTAGCTGTTACCACCTTACTATAACAAGGGGACAGTCTGAGAGGTCTGGGCCAACTCTCACCCAATTTTGTCTAAAGGCATGCACTCCAGAACCACACCTATTTCCACTTGCAACCAAATGCACCCATTTAAAAGATCAAAAACATTCTTCTTTACGCACTTTCCAGGCCACTGACAACATGTGCTACAGGCATGCACTCTTAGTAGATTATGGTAAAGCACATGTGAACTGCCCATATCCAAGCCCAACACACTGATGTAAATCACCCTAGTTAACATATGGGTAGCTACGTTCAATGGGGCAAAGAGCAGCAGCACCATATCGGACAGTTTTTTACTACCCACTGTGCACCACTGGCCAGTGAGCAACTGGACCAATGACATTCCAAAGCCTCATAACACACAGCCTCATTATTGGAGTACAAGTACTCACTTCAGGGAGGGCTGAGGTAGTTTCCCCACAGCCTGAAGGCTCTTGCTCCCCCAACAGGAAAGGTGGCGACACAACACAAAGCATGGTAAAGCATAGGAAGATGTTCTCTGGACACAGATGCCATAAGATCTATTCTGCTCTCTGCAAAATCTTCCTTCATAACTCTTCACTATTAACACTTTATACACCCTGATTTCTTCACCCATTCCTCCTTCCTTTCCCATCAGCCTGGTGCTGATCTGTGTAGGATTACCTGGGACACCCTGCTGGACCAGTAAGCCGGGGTTATTTATAGAGCCTTGAGGGGACAGTGTGCCAGCCACAGCCTGCATTTGACTACCATTTCCGGGGCCAACGTGGCGGCACACACAATGAGAGCCAGTAACCTCAGAGCCCTAGAGCAGAAGCCCGCTGAGCTGTCACAAACAGCTGGACCTGGCTAGGCCCGTTTGCACTTTGACATGATAATGCCACTGTTTTCAGCCCTGGTACTGTCAACACAACATGTATTTCCACTTTTTTTCCAAACCAAGCTCTTTATTAGCTTTGACTGAACTATTAATTGAAAAGATTCAAATAAAAGCAACATGTTCATTAAAAACACTAATAACTCAAGGAAATTTAAATAGCATTTTAATTCCCTGACCATTCACATTAATCAAAATTAAAAATGACTATTAGAAAAGTATTTCCATATTCTCCCTTCTGGCAGTCTACTGTACCCCATTCCTGTCCCCAACAACACTACTTTCGTTGCACCGGCTATCAGGGCCGTCAAAGTCTTGTACCACCACTATAGCTGCACAAGGATACTTCCTCAAGTCTCCTCCTGGGAACCCTAGTTTGCAGCAGCCACCTGCAGGTGTCCAAATAAACCAAAACAGATTCTGTTCAGACACTGCAAGACATTACATCCACCCTGCAGACAAAAGCCAAGACAAAGATTGCATGTACTATTCAACCATAAGGGCGCACCAGTAATGGATGTGCCATTTACTCCACTGCTGGGAGGAGCTTCAGGGTATGGCTTGTCCACTTCCTGTGATGGTAGAGTCCCCACTCTCACTCAACAATGAGCACAACTACCTAATATCATTGTTATGCTGGATTCAGATCTGGTCAATATTTGATTGGTCAGGAAGAAACTGGATTTAAATGCCGTTGGTTGTTGCTGTTGATGTAATATAAATCTGTCAGATTGTCAGCCGCAAGCGCTGTAAACAAGATGACTGTTTGTTCTTCCCACCCATCAGATAAACGCAGCATGATTTTTACAAACGACCCAGTCAGGAAAAACAAATCGGATCATATATGCTCCTTTGATATCTTACATACTATAATAGTGTTGTTCATTTCTAAAGGTTAAATTGGACAAATTATGAACATATACACTGGAGCAATGCTTCAAAGACATTTCCTATCTTCCTAATTCCTGACCTCAATCTAGAAAAGATGTTATCGGTCTGTTGGAAGGATCATCTAATAGCACATTCCAGACACAGTAGCTCTGATAAGAGTAGGCTACCTGGAGAACACCGAACAGGGAACTGGCCACCAATGCATTCTAGAAAAGTGGACACCTAAGAGTTGTGTAGCCCCTAAAAAACTTGCAGCCAATCACAAAGTAACCATAGTGCTGCAACTGCTACTGACAGTAGGAATGAGTCAGATGTGTTTGCCTCAGAGGTGTCTCCCAGGAAACAAAGTCAGTCCCTAAAGAAAAATCACTGGGAAACCAGTTTGAAAAAAATCAAAAAATAAACACACACAAACATATTACAATATATATGCTGCACACACACCTTTACAATACACACCACTCTCGAGATATAAAATCACATGACATCATGGGTAAATCTTACCAAAAATTTTAATATCAACCATCAGCAGACATTCACCAGAATTCAATCCATATACCTTGTGATGGAATTTTGGAGTCTGTTTTTATGGATCCACCATCCCAACATTAAAAACTACCTCCTGTCCATGCAAGAAGTTACAACTTGTCAGGTCATGAATTTCAGGTATACCAGGCAATGTTATTTCTATGGCACCTACATGCTTACTGCTAAAAAATTCTCATCAATGCATGACCTGGTGAAGAATAGACAGAAACAGTCCGTCAAACCTAGCTCAACCAAGCCTAGATGTGAAGACCCAGGTCTCCTGTATTACCATGAAGATACTTTCAGATTGCTTATAAATATTGTTTCCTATTTCAAAATATGTTTCACTCATTGCTGCAGTGTTCAATTAACCCTCAAAACTGATGTTTACAAAAATGTCAGCTTGTTTCAAGTTTTACAGCACACATTCACAACGATGGACACAAACAGACACACTCCCTCTTTCTGACTTCCTGTATACTCCCACGGCTGTAGGTCAGTTCTCCATTTCAGGGTTTTCTGTGCTTGCAGAAAGAGGTCACAGGATACAATCCTCCCTCTCTGAGGCTACATTAGCTATCTATCATAGTGCCAACCGAGAAGCATGAACACTGCAGATTTTTAACTGTGGGCTACAGTAATTCCACAGTGGGACTGAGAATTGGCCAGGCAATCTTCTGCTTTAATTGTAGGCTCTGAATTAGCCGATTCCCACAACTATACTCAATCTGATTAATAACGTGACGTGTTCGGAGGAAGTTCAAAACCCAAGCCATTTAATTGCTTGGTCACGTACTCATTTCAAGATAAATAACACCTTCGTTGCATTTGCTTTCCAAACCGCAACACCATATTCAAACTACTTGTCATTTTCCGTCCATCACAACGATGTTATAAACTATATGATTCCGTGCCATACATTAACAATAGGACTTTTCCCTTTAAGCCCCTCCCGAAAAGACCGAGGCCGAACCATCTTGATAAGTTTCATCCTACCGCGAAACCCGAAGTCAAATAAATCTTGCTTTATTTGGAGCGGCAAATACTCGCCGAAAACTAGCATCATAATCTCCAATAGCAATCAGTATAACGATAAGGAGACAGCTTTTAAACTAGTCAGTTCGCATCGTCCGCTTTGGTAATGGGATGCTGTACAGTGTACACAAAAAACACTCAAATTTGAATCCGTTTCAGTTTTTCACAGCTGAGGTGATAGAGAGCCAAACAAACGAGCTAAACTTCCCAAGGAAAACGCTGGCTATTAGCTATAAACTTAGCCAGACAGTTCAAATGCACTTTTAACCAACATATCTCTAACCACGCTTGTACAATCTGCACTACTCGGTCAATATAAATCAGCGGTTGGACTTCTAACCAGTTTATTAAATTTAAGGATTTCACAGAAAAACTGGCACCGGCCGCTGGCGCCAGAAAACAGATGTCGGCCGGTTCCGTAGACAGGCAGCGGTCTCTCGGTTTTCCTGAACTGCCCCTCGCAACAACTGCGAAGCCCGGTATCATAACATTCACAGTCGTCTGTCCAATGAATTCAACTGAAGTTTGCTGGAGGAAAACCAGTCGCCGAAAAAGTTGTCATATTTTGAGTTCTATCCGGTTAGGTCAACCCGGCAAAGTCCGAAAATCGGATGGAGCTCTGCGCCACATTTGAACCATGAGACAGCCTCTAAGGCCCCCTAAATAAGTGCCGACACCCTTTCTAATTCAACTTTTATGCAACTTTAGACAACACAACAAAGCAATTAACAACTTCAGAAATAAAATTCTCACCCATCTGAGCTCGCATCTCCTTCAGAGTCGCGCCTTCCGCCATTTTTGGAGGATTTTTTTCCTACTTTTTTTTTGACGACACAGAGATGCGCGCGACTCACGAGGACGTGGACAGCGCGAGACGGATTGAAAGGGCGCGCGAGCGTCACCTGACGGATGAGGAAAATTCGCGCTGTTTAATAAGCGTGTGCAGATGTCTCCAAAGCGTACGAAATAAACTTAAATACAACGTATACAAAACGCGGGGCGCTTAGTGTACTGGCGGTGATGCCATTAACACTTTAAATCATAAACTTGCTGTCGTTAGTGGCTTGAGTCTGAGGAACTTGCTGCCATAGCGACGGGCGGCAGGCGATCACGACCTGGTTGAAGAGCACACTTTTTCTGCCTCCTCAACACTTCAAAGAGGCTTTTCTTAACACCGCCTGACCTACGCGTTAGATCAGAATAGGCTGCACATGCGCACCATACAGCGAACGAAACGGAGGATGCACGAAAACGAATCGGAACTCGAAAATGCAGATTCATTTATTCATTCATGCATCTGCTTAAACGGCTCAAATAGACGCCCACCTTTAAGCATAAACTTTTAATAAGTTTTCCCACCAATACGATTTCAACTGTAAAAAATGAAAGCTAGAAACAGATGAAATTCATGACACGAAGTACAGCGTTAATAAACATTTTTGTTTGGGTTTTAAAAAAACGACAAAATGTCTACTAAAACAATTGGAGAGCAGCAGCCACTGGCTAACAAAGGTGGCTTGAACTTTGCTTCGTTGTTTTTTCCTCTGTATATTGACTTGATTTGGGCGGGGTGAATCGATTGGAAATCCACTGCAGCAACAGAAATCCCTAACGCCCCCCACCTTTCAGAACAGTGAATAAAATATGAGGGTACCACAATCCACCTCCCGCTTCTTCTCCAGACAGTGTCCCAATTACCCTTCGATCAGCCCTCAGCCTCGTCATCCATTTTTAATGGCAAACACAGGGCGGCTCATTGCTTCTGGGGCTTGGTTACATGGGGCTAAATAATTCAGGAGCCCACCAGTTATTTAACACTCAAGCAGGAGGTGCTGAGGGCCACAGGATTTTAACCAATTAGTGGCACTGGAATTATTAGGTAGGTCATTGTCCTAAAATCATCGAGATACACTCAAGCTGTCGCGGTCAGTAGGTGGCGTGGTAGTATGGGGGATTAAATACGTTACAGGGTTGCTGGAGGTGTCTGGCTGTCATTCCCCAGTGCAAAGCACCTAGCCACCTTACTGAAATGTAACAGCATCTGCTAAGCAAAACTATTACGTAATGTGACACTTTGTTAAACTTCTGTTATTCCAGTTGACTAAATATAAGGTTTGCTGATTGTGCGACTTAGTAACACCACGGAAGGTTGGTTTACAAAGACTAGGATGACCAAGAATTACCCCTCAGGCAATGAAATGTACCTCAGAAATGTCCCCCCCAGACAGAGAAGTTGTCCTTCACCCGCCTTCGCCCCCCTAACCATCCACGATATTGTGCACTGACCAGAGAAACATAGCTAGACATATGTCCAATTTGTCAGGTATCTGGCGGACGTGTCAAGGCTGAGGGCCCCAGGACACCTTCATCCTTGGGTGGCGGGGAGCCTCCGTCCTGCACCCCCTGGGGTTGTAGGCCGTTCCTTGCCAGTAGGCACTGGTGCATCCTGGCCACAAGGTCGGGGCGGGGCAGAGAGGCGATGGCCTCTGCCAGCTGAGGCAGCAGAGTACTGGTTGAGGTGCTCAGATACTGGAACAACTCCTGGAAGCCACAGACATTGGCCAGTACCTCAGGCGATACCCCAAGGGCACGGCCCAGCCTTCTAAGGCCGCTCCGGCGGCGCCCAGCGTCAATCAGCAGGGACATCTCATGCACAGTGTCATAATCCAGCTCCTCCAGCATTTGACCTTGACATCGACAATGTCACAATGTGAGTTGGCATCTTGTATTGGGGTTCCCTGTCTCCTGCCTTATATTTCTGCTGCAGACACATGTATTTAGTAACTTGCTTATGGTACTACAGCAAGGACCCTTCTGGAACCTTCTGTGCCATTAACCACCATGCTGCCTGACTGGGAGAATGCCTACCTGCAGTCATTGCAGAAATTTCCTGTAGCTTCTTCTGCATCTGCAGAAAACAGCATAAACAAACACACACACACACACACACAACAAGGTGAGGAGTTCATAACCTTGTAGAGCTATTAAAGTTAATGATGATTCAAACGGCTCTAATGAATGCTCGCATTTTTTTTCTGTGTCCAGAAACATGACACAGACAAAGAAGTGTTACTGGAGAGTAAGATGATTGTACATGTGTTACACCAAGATGGTGCACCTGTTAGCAGGAGAATCCACTGAGTAATTTTCCATGCCCTACCTCCTTCAAGCACCACGGGCTTTCCTCTGGCCTCTCCCATTCACAGTCTTCACCCTGGCCTTGACTGACAGGCTTGATGTTCGTGGTGACATTAATGACAATAGCAGGGGTGTGTACGTCTTCCTCTTGGTTCAGGAGAGTTCTCCTTTGAGGGTTTTATAGATACACACAGGAATGTTGACCTTGGCCATGCATTCATCCTGGAATCTCCCTATTCCCTTCCCATTCTCTGCCGACGCCCCCCCCCCCCCCCCCCCCCCCCCCCCCCCCCCCCCCCCCCCCCCCCCGCCACACACACACAGACAAACAGTGTACCTGGAGGTGTCACATGGATTCTGCTGCTCTAATTCCTCCTCAGTCATGCCACAGGCTACGGGTGTGGCACTGGGCGTGGTGCGGGGCATGGCACATGGAAGGAGCGTTCTCAGAGATCCAGCATTCAACCCTCTGGGCCGTGAGACAAGCTTGAACCTTTTATCTTATTCATCCGAATCAGACAGAAGGTTGGTGTATAGGGTTACAATGATTTGTCAATGAGCTATGAAATAGTTGATGGAAGGAAATAACAGCGCTTGCGTATGATCTGGAGGTTGATGTTTGTTTCTAGACATGAGAGGAAGAGAGCGGATGGAGTTGATTGGAGGGGCTGTGTGTGTAGAGATGTAACTGCGTGTATCTGTCTGAGTGTCTGTGCGCTATACTCACTGAGTCTCTCCACTGTCAACAGCAACACCCACAGCAACAGCACTAGGAAGAAGGCGGTGGCAGCAGATGATGAGCCAATCACAGCAACTGAAGCCGCAACTGGCTCCACCCCTAGACCCAAGAGCCACAAACAACGGTGAGATCAGCCAACACTAAGATCAGCGAAGCATTTCAGGATTTGAAATAAAATATGGCTCCGCACAGTTCTTCTTGAATATCTTTGCGACCTCATGCTGGAAATGGTGGTAGCCGGTCCTGGGATTTTAATTTGAGAGGCGATTCGAGTTATTGAGGAACTATGACGGATCTACAATAACTAACCTTCCCGAATGATGGCTTATGAGCATGGAAACAGTAAATATTGCGGGCAGGTGCAGCCACTGCAGGTCATATAAGCTGTGCTTGATGTGTTCACGTTGCATCAGTGTTGCTCACCTGCCGTATCTGCCCTGGGGGCAGGGGGCAGGCAATCTCTCCGGACCCCGCCAAAGGCGCTGAGGCAAGGCATGCAGAGCGGCTCCATCACTCTGTTCTTCCTCTTCAGCTCATAAAACCTGGGGGGTGCATAAGTGCGGTCCATCACTGTCAGTTGTTTCCGCTGAGGCTGTTTCTGGCACAGTGCTGGAAGCTGTTTTTCGGTGCTGCCCCACCCCCCCCACTCACCCCTTCAAGCAGGGGCCGCAAACCGCGTTGCTGGTGGGGGTGCAGGGCTTTTGCTCCATACGGTTCAGCAGGGTGCACTCTGTGCACTGCCAGCAGGGGGCGAGGCCCGTATCGGCACTGAACTCCCCCTCATCACATGCCTCGCAGTGCCCACCCCCACCATCACCATATCCACAGTCCTGGGGGGTTGGGGGGTGGTGTATGTGAGACAAGGCCTTCAAGCTTAGCTAACCCACATTGGGTGTGTTCAAAGAAAACACTATCAGTGCTCTAACATGGTTTTCTCCAGCAGAGGGCGTGGTGGCTCAACTCATGGCTGTATCAAATTACCAGCTATATTTCAAACGGTTCTGCCAGTGAGCCAAGTAATATCCAATAACCGGTAACAGTAGCCCCTTTAGAACAACAGTGGAGCAGTAATCGATCAATAGGAAGGTGTCTATGTGTGATTGACCTCTGAGAGCTGCTGTCCTGGTCCGCATGTGGGGCAGTCCATACAGGTGCCGCTGGCATGCAAGAACTGAGCCTGATCACAGCCGGACTCAGCTACGCCCAGGGCATGGCCTGCCTGAGGGAGCACCGCAGAAGGACACTGTACGAAAACTGCCACTTTGGAAAAGCGCTGGGAACAAAGTGCTAACAACTCACCATTAGGAGTACGACAAAGACGCCCAGATTCATGGGAGCGGATCCAACCCACGGCGCCGGGCTGGAAAGGAAAACACGCATCCATTAATTTATTATATAATGTAGAGTTACAGCAGATAGGTGAATTCTTTTTCTATGAAACAGTGCCCTCTAGTGGTCATATTGCGTAATTGGGATCAGCCACGCTCAGTTAGCGTTCAGTCTGCCTTCGGTCTGACATTCATCCCGTGGATTACACCGAACATCACAATGCACAAATCTCTTTAATTCACTCAGTAATTAATGCTATGTACTGAACATATATGTATGTGTTTGTTTATGTAGAGGTAACAGTGTTACCTCTTAATTATCACACGGATGGTGCAACCTGATTTATTCAAAGTTTGCAGCTCCCGAGTAAGATATAACTGCAAATTTTGGAGCACCCATTTCAGACAATTATCTAGTATGAAACTTCCATAAAATATTTTACACAGTCATCAATAAACCAAATCAATGTCATTTACTATCTAAAGTAGTTATTCCAGTAATTCTCTGAAAATATTGTCTCATAATAAAGAATAGAAAACCACTGTAGTTACACTTTTCTTTCCCTCGCCGTGCGTTTTGTTATATAAGGTCCGTGGGATGAGTTCAGCGTCTGTCCAGGAGCTTCCACGTCCCTTCATAGCAGACTAAGTGGTGAGGTAGTAGGGGTGACGGAAGATGTTCCCGATGTTACCCACCTGTTCACCAATCGCAGGGACGCCCAGCAAACTCCCCCTAGAGTGTGTGTGTGTGTGGGGGGGGGGGGAGGGGGCATCATCGACCACTTCTCAAATGGTCCCAGCCAGGCGAATGACGCGGCAGCAAGGCTCTTCAACGTCGCGTGGCGTGTGGGAATCCCGAAGCACGCGTCATCAGCGCCCTTATAGGGTTTCTGCTGAGACCTGCGGAGGTCTCCATACGCCGGTGAATGAACGCCTTGTGCGGAGCCGAGGTTAGCGCAGGAGCAGTTTGCGCCAAAAGCCTACCAACAAGGGGAGGCTGTTAGTTTATGCAAGTTTAAATTTAAACGACTTTATGAGCTCAGAATCAGATAAGCGACTTAATCTAAATTCCTTATAAGGAACTTTCCTGCAGATTTACTTTCATGTACCCTTTATCTGCATTTAGTCAGATAAGTTATTTGTATAGTCAGAAGTATATTTATTAGCGAATGATTTTGTTCATTTTAAAGAAAACGTAATTTTATGTGTGCTGTTATAGTGCTACAGCACTTACTTGACGCAAGCATCCTCAATAGTGATGTGCAATAGTGATGTGCATTAAGATCCGATAAGGTCTTACTTTGTTACTGTGTTTTTCTGCCCGGTGGCTAAGGAAAATTCATTTTGTAAATACAATGTTACGTGTTTTGTTTTATTTTGGGTGTGTAAACGTGAAAAATAAAAAAGCCTTAATATTAAACTTTTTCTGTTGCGTTTTTACTCTGCTTTGTCAAGGTTTTATGCAGTGTATACATATTTCCATTAATACCAGAATGATTATTTCTATTCCCCGTGTTTTTTTATTTTTACCAGTAGGTGCCACTTTCCCCGTATATTTCCAGTCAACCAATGTAAAAGACAAATAAGCAGGCAACGAACTGCATGTCTACGTTAAATTGACCTTTGCAAAACGTTCTATCATGACTCAACATGTCAACAAGCCATTCAATAAAAAAAGTAAAAAATTAAAAAGGTTCCTCAATTTACAAAGTGGGATGTTGTATTACTTCCCATTACTACCCACCTCCGATTAAAGGTAAGACTACATCAAGTTATATAGAGCACACACTATGGGAGACTTAGAGTGTCATTCTGCATATCTTTGGACAGCAGGACAAGACTCGTGCAACACAGGGAGACACTCTCACTCTCGTGAAAAATATGCGTCATCAAATCTGTTCTGTCACGATCAGAACGGGGAAGCAGGAGCAAGGAGACAGAGGAGCAGGAATACGGGGTTTATTAGGGGTTAATCCTACACGGAGCACAGGAAAACATGTAACGTCAATGACACAACTGGGGAAACAGAATTGAACGCGGACTGAAATACACAAGACTAATGGCAGGAAACGTAGAACAGCTGGTGGACGTTGGGATTCCACACGAGGTTAACGAGGGGGGCGTGACACACAGGAGGATCGTATGAGCCGGGCGTGACAGAACCCCCCTCCAAAAGTGCGCACTATGGGCGCACCCCAAGGGGAGCGAAGGGACAAGACCGGGGACAGGAGACCTGGAAAACAATAGCAAAACATCAACGGGGCACTGGGAACAGGACAGACACACAGAACAGACACAAAGGCAGTAACTAAGACAACAACTGACAAACAACGGGGAAAGCAAACAGGCACAGGGGCACCAAAAAAGGAGACATGGGGGGAACACCGACGGGAGGAACAAAGGGGCCAGGAGTGAACGGAGGAATGGGGGGACAAGGAGCAGACACAGGGGGCACAAAACCAGAGGGCAGGAAGGCAGACGAGGGGAAACGGGGAGCCAGAGGAAACCCCAGTGGGCGAGAGGTGGCAGCCATAGGGGCTGCAGCCGACTGGGAGGCAGGTTCCCTCCGTGAACTCGAGGAAGGAGCAGGAGGGGACCTCATAGGGGCGAGGAGGCAGGCGGAGGAACAGGTGAAGGAGGCAAGGAGGGGGCACCAGGGGAGGCGAGGAGGAAGGCGATGGGGACCTTGGCGAAGGCGAGGAGGGAGGGGAAGCCGCGGCAGGCGATGGCGCAGCCACAGCTGGTGATGGTGCAGCTGACCGATGAGTCGGAGTGGGGGGACCCACAGGTGACTGATGAGTTGAAGTGGGGGAACCCGCAGACAACCGATGAGGCGTTGGAGGCAGGGCTGCAGGCGACCAACGAGGCATCGGAGGGGGACCCGCAGGCGACAGCTGAGCGGGAGCCGGAGGACCCACAGGTGCCCCTCGAGCCACAGCCTAAGAGATTGAGGGCGAGCCAGGGGGCAAGGTGGGCAGGACACGACTCCTGCGCAGGTGTCCCCATCCGGTCCAGGAGACCAACACACCGAGAGACGGGGACCCAGGGGAACCTCGGGTAGAGCATCAGCTACCGGCACAGGAACAGCAGGGGGGCGGAGCATCAGCTACCGGTACAGGAACAGTGGGGGGTGGAGCTGGGGTGCGCGTCTTGGCTGCGGGCGCTGCCCGTTTAAGGAACTTGGGGATCCGCGGGATAACATTCCCAACAGACATGGCCCCTTTAAGAGCCAGGTGCGTCTCAAACAACGGGCCAGCTGTCAATGCTGACAGCGGAGCGGCAGACGGACCAGCTTCAGGCTACCGCCCTGCCCGAACATTCGCCGGATCCAGAATCGGGAGGAGTTCCTCCCGACACGTAGCAGGGCAGACAGCGGAGATAGAGTCGACCCCCAAGAAGATCACTGGTTTGTCTTCGGACTTCTGATTTCTCCGCTTCTTCTTCCTCCGATTGGCAGCTTGCGGTGGAGTCCGGGACGCTTCTGGGGGCTTGGAGGGTGAAGCGGCAGGTGGCTTAGTAGCATGGGTTTTTAATTTGGCTACCTCCGCAGCAGCTGCGGGAGATTTTCGCGCACCTCTCTGGCTAGATGTGCATCTTCAGCCAGGGACATCCCCTCTAAGATGTCCCGGCTTCAGCTTGCCAGTGTCCAAGCCATGGAATCTTCCCGGACTTCGGCTCTGCAAGCCAGTAACTCACCTTTTCTACCAGACCAAGGCATAAATCCTTGGTCGGGGGGGGGGGGGGGGGGGGGGGGGTGAATTTTTGAGGAGTCGTGTCATTCTGTCACGATTGGAAAGGGGAAGCAGGAGCAGGGAGACGGAAGATTGGGAATACAGGGTTTATTAGGAGTCAATCCTACATGGAGCACAGGAAAACACGTAACGTCAATGATATGACTGGGCAAATGGATTTGACCGCAGACTGAAATACACCAGACTAATGGCAGGAAACATAGAACGTAGGGATTCCACATGAGGTTAACGAGGGAGGTGTGGCACACAGGAGGATTATACGAACCAGGCGTGACATGTACTATTCTATGTGACAATAATACAAGTAGAATGTAGGTTATAGAGAAATGTGTTAAATTGCACAATGACTTGCTTTAGAAGAAAAAGTAAACAGTTCATCTTGACATTTTTTCATTATTGAATGAGGTCAAAATAAGTTTGATAAAAAATAAAAGTTCTAAGACCAAGTACAGGCAGAAAAACAAGTTATTTCTGAGGTTTGTATGGTGGCAAAGAGAAAAATAACTGTCAAACTACCAATCCTGAGATTGGAACCCACAATTTTATGGCTGTTTATAACGTGCAACAGGGGAAATTAATTGAAACAAGGCCCACAATGTGATTTATTTAGATTTCTAGAAGAGCTTTGATGTAGTCCCTCACAAATAACTCCTGCTTAAGCTCAAAGCAGCAGATATATTAGAAACTGTAGCAGGCTGGATTGAACATTGGTTAGCTGACAGAAAGCAGCAGGAAGTTATTAGAGACACAATGTCACAATGGACCTGTATCCATAGTGGGGTACCCCAGGGTTCAATTTTAGGACCATTATGATTCCTAATTTATATAAAAAAATATTGACACTCTTTTATACGTTAACTGGTTATGCTGATGACACCAGGTTAGGAGGTGTAGCAGATTCTGAGTTAGCAGCAGAGATGTTACAGCAGGACCTTAATCTAAAGAAACTCACTTTAATAAATGCACTGCATATTCTATTGTGAACAATGCACTACATATTCATATAATGAAACATTTCCATAACACACACTAAAACATGTTTTCATATTTACTATATTCTGCTGCTACTACCTATTAGTAATCTGGACTTACACTCTGTGCTATAATACGGCAACTGTGAGACACTGTGCAATATTTGACTGTACAATATTTTGACTCGGTGCAAATTTTAACTTTGAGCACTATTTACTCAGCACGAGATTTACCTCTGTGTTGAATAGTTGTCTCCGTGTAGTTCTGTATTGTATTGTATGTATTGTGTGTAGCCTGTAGTATTTTTGTTTGTTTTGCACATTGAGCCAGGAGAAACGCAATTTCGTTCTACTGTGCACTCTCAAACTGTGTGGTCCAAATGACAATAAAGTTTACTTTGACTTGACTTGACTAAAGACTTGGGGTGACATAGGGCAGATGAAATGTAATGTAGACAAATGTAAGGTAATCCATGTAGGGGGCAGATATATACAGCACAGATATTTTATAGGTTCAACTGAAATTAAGGAAGTTGATTACGAGAAAGGTGGGGTGTGTAAATCAACACTTCTGTGTCTCACTTTCTCACCAATGAGGAGAAGCAGTTAAAAAGACAAACAAGATGTTGGGCCACATCTACAGGTGTGTTGAGTTGAAATCAAGGGAGGTAATGTTAAGATTATATAATTCCATTGTCAGACCTCTCCTTGAATACTGTGTCTGGGTGAAAAAAGACATTTCTACTTTAGGAGTGGTCTAACAAGGGCTACAGGAATGATTCTTGGCCTTAAAATTTTATTAAATTTTCTAATTATTAAATTCCCAGCAGGTGAGCTCAATAGGCTGAATGGCCCCTTCTCGTTTGTAACTTTCTTATGTTCTTATGTCTTGCATGTGATTGTATTTAGGGAAGTAAAAGTAAGCCATGGTAAGAGTAGAAACTGAAACAGCTATAAATAAAATGAAATGGTGCTTTATTTGCCATTTTTACAAGTCTGAGTATTGGGTACTTTGGAATGATTGTTTTTGCATATCCCCTCTTACTCTTACATACACGTACAGGTGAGAGCAAAACTTGTAGCCTGAATGGAGGGTCAGACATTTATCATGCACCTCTGGAGCAATCAGCGGTTAAGAGCCTTACTCACATGCCCAACAGTCTGCCGACCTAGGATTCAAACCAGTGACCTTCTGACAGGGGCGTTGCTAGAGATTTTGGGCCCCATGAAAGCATATCATATTAGGCCCCCCAGTCCAAACCAATCCAGTTATTTTCCAAATTTTTTAGGGCCCCTGTCACTCAGGGGCCCTTGGAATCGTCCTAGCTTTCCTCCCCCTTACGGCGCCCCTGCCTTCTGATCACCGGCACAGATTCCTAGCCCACTGAACCACCCCTCAAAAACCTTTCTGGGAGCAATTGGGGGTTAAAGGTCTTGCTTAAGGGGGCCAATGGTGATGTCACACTATCAAGTCTGAGATTTGGGCAGTGGGGGCCGTGGGCAGTGGTGTCTTAATGGTTTGGGAAGCATACTTGTAATTGAAAGATTGCTGGTTTGAATCCCCGACCGGCAAGGCACCACTGAAGTACCCTGAGCAAGGTACCGCCCCCAAGCACTGCTCCCCGGGCGCTGAATTAGCTGCCCCCTGCTATGTCACGATGTCACATATGGGTTAAATGCAGAGGACACATTTCGTTGTTGTGTGCTGTGGTGTGTCAACACTGATCTCTAAATTTGAATCAGCAACCCTCTGCCTGTTTATAACGTGCAATATAGTCTACCAAAGGGTCTGCCATTTGTACCCTTAGCTGTAGGCAATTATACCTTTTAAGCTACAAAAATGGACTCTGAGGAACATTTCTGTGCAATTGATGGTACATTGATGCTGTTTGTACCTTTGGGATGTTCCTCAGAGTCCATTTCTGTACCTTAAAAGGTATAATTGCCTACAGCTAAGGGTACAAATGACGGGTACAATTACAAGGGTACAGCCCCAGTGACAAGCAAAGGTACACTATTTTACTCTTTTTTCTGAGTGTACTGCTACAGACATAACACTGCTTTCTAAGCATAATAGCTGTTTGGTGCATATAACCCTAACCCTATTAATAATACTGCAATCAGAAGTATAACATTGAATGACCATGAAAGTGAATGCCACCTCTTTCATTTATGTTTCAGTCCGTATTCGTACACTTGTGTTCTTAGGTTATTCTATATTTAATATTTATTTTTAATTATATATTTGCTGTATTATTAGCTGCAGAGTTGCCTTCTCAGTTTAATTGTACTTATACAATGACAATAAAGGAATCAATTCAATTCAATGCTGAAAGTCATTCTCTTGTTTTAAACTGAGGAATCACAACAGGAACTACTGTGATCATGTGACTGGGATTGTGGCTGGACTCGTTTTAAGAGGTAATGAATCAGCTGTTTACAATCTGCCCACTGATCTGCGAGATAAACTTTGCGTGACAGAAAGACTACATGCAATACATCACTGGAAAATTATGACATTTCCATCAAATACGTTGTTTGAGTGTTTGTTGCCAGATAGAACATTTTCCAATTATTGCCAAGCAACCCCTCCATGCGCCCATTGTCCAGTATCCGGTACACATCCTGTCTCAGGAAACCCAGGGTGTCAGGCAGGGGTGCCCCTGGATTTATTTACTGAATTATGGGCATATGGACACAATCACACTCCACTGCATTTTAGAGGCACCATTTGGAAACCAGAAGCCCGCACTGTCATAAAAAGAGAAGCAATTTGTACCTTTGCTTGTCACTGTACCTTAAAAAAGTACCTTTTAAGATACAGAAATGGACTATGAGCAACATTTCTGTACCACTGGGAGTACATTAATGTTGTTTGTACTTTGGGGATGTCCATTTCTCACCTTAAATTAGACTAAAAGGTAAATTTACCTACAGCTTGGACACCATTGAGGGTACAGCCCCAGTGACAAATAAAGGTACAAATTGGTATCTTTTTATGACAGTGTAGAGGAAACACACATAAACACAGAGGAAACCTGGGAACCCCGCCCCCCACACAGAGTCAAAAAGGAATTCTTAGGTGTGAGAGTAAACTGCTCCTTACAGAACCACCGTGTCACACTGTCCAACAGACGGTTCATTCAAAAAGAGACACTTTATTCACCAGGGTCGCTGCAGGTCTGAGGGTTTTGTTGTGGTGACATGATGACGGTTACAAGGAATACAGGTGACAAATGTTAAGACAATACACACAAAATAAAAGAGGATATTCAACATGCAAGTAGCTAGGCTATACAATTTTACTTTTCAATTTTTATTTTATTATTTTACAATATTGTCCAACATTGTGGAAACAGTTACAATTTTTAGAGATTGAGGAACTGCTGCTCCAATTACTTGATTAATCGTCCAATATATGGTATTTGTAACATTCTTTAATTGTTTATAAACGTTACCGCCAGCTGTTTCCACAATAATGCTTAGTTAAACCTTAAAAACCTTAGTTAAATCTTTGTCATGGTCGTATTTAGCGTGCAGCTTAATTTCAGATGAATAAGAAACGCAGAGAAACTCTGAATGGAGATTTCAGTCATTTCCAATCATTCCCGTTCCTACTTTTTAAATAATGCTTGGTTCTTCTCACGCAAATGATCCCTGACCTAATCATATGACAGTGATTTTGCAGATTCCTATGATATTTCTCACATGTGACTGGCTCCCTTCGAAATCCGCCACTGGCTTTATAGCTGGATCCTCCTGCTACAATGTTACCGAAGTTAAACTCCCACCCCTGGAAACATCCCAAAACAGACAACATGCGTATCACTCATACTTCCCGTCTAAATATACAGTTGTTTGAGCAGCAACGTTCCATCGTGTAAATCAGTTAATACTGAAGAAATTCTAGTAAAGCAGTCAAAAACACGTCCATGCCATAGGCTTTATCCCAATGACGCCAAGTGTTACATGTCAAGGCTTCCAGACTACCTGGCTACGGTGATGAAAACATCGAGGCAAGAAGCTCCCTCCCTTTTAGTAAAACAGAAAACATGGAATGCGGATTGCGCTCCTAGTTTAGCCGGAAGCGCCATATAAAGCAGCTGTAGCCGAACTAACGGCAGAAGCGGAGGTTTCAGCTTCGCACTGGTCACCAGCCACCATGCAGACCCTGGCTTTGGTCTCCATCACCCTGTGCCTGGCTGTCAATGTCTGGGCTCAGAAACCCCGACACTGCAGTAAGTGAACGGATACGCCTTTTTTAAAAATAAGGACCAATTTCTGTTGGTCTTTGTTATATTACATGTAGGCTAATGAACTACATGTACCTATGAGTACTTAATATTTAATTAATAATTGACAGTAAATCCATCCTTTATTATGAGGATGTAAGTGTTCCAAGGGCTTATCTGTGTTGTGAACAGGTGCATTTGCGTAAAGTTTGTCAGCTATTAGTGCATATTATTTTACAATTGTCGTGGAAAATGTTTTAATATATTCTAAGAACTTGTCTATGATCAAATCCTGCAGGGTCCCCGCCTCTGGTGGTCGGGAGTCTAACTGTCGTAAGTTTCTCCCCTTTTCACGCAGCACCATAAATTGTGCGGTTATTTAACACACGTACGTCGCACTTCCAATTCTTGTCACAGGCGCGTGACTTAGGTTCACTCGTTGCGTGTTAATGAATCGCGATGGAAAACAGGAGCCAGACAAATGGTTAAACGCAGCTGGGAAAACCAGATCGATGGCATGTTTTGTGTTTGTTTTTCTCTTTGTCTTCCTGTTTAGTCAGCTCGCGAAGGGGAGTTTTTCGCTGAAGCGAAGTATACCTACGATGCTCTGCAGAAGAGGGTGCGCTTCAGGGAGTTCGGATGCAACAACAGCCAATCTTTCCATACAGACAAACTGATCTTGTTCAGAAAGGTAACAGGCAGTGGAGTGCGCATGGACACCCATATCACGAAACCTATGCAAAGCTGACGGCCTTTAACTGACTGTGGGCCGTAAAACATGCCTGCCTTCTACCGTTCTTTCAGCGCGTGATGTATGACATCTCCTATCACGACCATTCTTGCAAGAGGATCCCACTCAGGGTACATTTCCACCCCATGGAGGTCCCCCGTGAAGCCAAACTGCTGAGTGAAGTGGTCCTGGGCAGCTCATCAGCCCCTGGACAGGGTCTGCTTGTCAATATCTGGGTTGGAAATGTTTCAGAGACAGGAGGTAAGGAAGATGATGATGTCACTAAGGGGAGGACACCTGAAAAATAAACATTGTGGCCAATGTACATTTCACTGTATCTTGCCTTCTACCCTTTGTTCTCTTTCACCCTGACATTTTAGAATCTGTACTGATAATAATGGCTTATTCTTATTTTGATTCTTTCCTAGGCAAGTATTTCTCTACATTTACTGAATTCGGCTGTCTGCCAGTAAGCAGCATCTACTACAGCAACAGCACTGGATGGGTAATGACAAGGTACAAGCTCTATATAAAGCAGCTCACTTCCCTTTAGATAAATGTTTATGTTTTAAATGGTTTTGTCTGGGATATTAAACCATATAAGCAATCAGAAGGCACTCAAATTGATGCAGGTTTGTTTTAATAACGAGATGGTATTTTCCATTCGTTACAACCAACCACTGTTTTCATAATTAAAGTAGTACCACATTTAAATGCCTGTTTATATTTTTCAGAACTGGATTAAAGATTGAGTGCAGATCAAAAACAGACCCCTTAAATTGATCCTCTAAAAGAATTTAGAATTTGGTGATCAGTGGTCATTGTTGACACACCACAGCACACAGTGCACAACAACGAAATGTGTCCTCTGCATTTAACCCGTATGTGTGTCGTGACATAGCAGGGGGCAGCTAATTCAGTGCCCGGGGAGCAGTGCTTGAGGGCGGTACCTTGCTCAGGGTACCTCAGTGGTGCCTTGCTGGTCGGGGATTCGAAGTATGCTTCCCTAACCATTAAGCCACCACTGCCCAAAATAATAAGATGTATATGGAATTAGATCTGTAAGAATTACTTTGTATAAAAAAACTACCCTAGGTATATGGATTTCTCCTTTTTTTTCATTGGGTTGTGTATTTTTGGTTCTAAGTTCTCTAATCCACTAGAATGACACTCAGTAAGTGACAGTAGTTTATACTTGTATATACTAAAGACGTTTTAGTGTGATATGGATGGTATGCAGTACTGGTCTCTGCTCTTCCAGCTTTTTCAACAACATGAACGGCATCGGGAACCCCGAGGACTTCATCCCTCCTGACTTCTGCATGCGAAAAGAAAATGAGGAAACGGAATGGGGAACCGAGAGGGACTTCTTTGAGGCTTTGTTTTGAGAGCCGGACACCAAGAAGTTCGGGAGATCTGCACAAATCCACGAGACCCACATCTGACTTTCTATTGATTGCATTTTCTTTCGCATTTGAGTTTAAAACTATTGATTTAAGTATAATTATGCCTACTATTTGTTATTAGTTTGAACCTGTGTAATATGAATTGTAGTCATCTTGTTTACTTGGACCCAGATAGTCCTTCAGGTTTACTAGTTACATTTGTGGACTGTCTGTAACAAATGCTATCACTGTGAAATGAATAAAGTTCTTTTTTCTAATCAGTTGAGATTCTCTCTGTGTCTTTATATCAGTATTGATTCATTGTGCAGTCTCATAAACCCCACAGCAATCACAGCTACTAGAAACTTCGTTTTTGGAATATTAAAACTTCCTTTTGTTTGAAAATATTTGAGATAATAAAACATTTTGAAAATTGTGCACTAATAGCAGCTAATAAACTTCTGGAAACTTCCAAAACACCTGACGGTACCATTACCTTCATCTTAGTGTCCTCACATGGCGTACAATGAGAATTTTATTCATGGGATTATACTGTATATCTAAATGTTTAAGTGTGCAGTTTCAACAACTCTTTCAATAATTTCAATAAATGCGAAAAAAAAACAATTGGGCAGTTATGGGTCAAAGGCTAAGGGGAACTGGTGGGGCTTATTGTATAGCAATAATAGGAAATGCCCCTTAAAGTTCCTACCTCCTGCACTTTGACCCCTGTGGTTCCACCCCCCAGTGCCCCACTCTCCTTTTCCAGCCATAAGAGTCTAGCATCTGGGTCTTCATCTGAAAACTGGAGAAGAGCCCCAGATGGCCGCAGCACTCTGAGACACTGCTGTAAGACCTGCCCAGCTTTGGCTGGACCCTCCTTAGATCTCAACAAAGCGTCGGTCGTGCCTTTATCTACGATCAAGTCCAAACTGCAGCAGCCGAACTGCTGCAGGAGTTGGGAACAGTCCAGCTCCAGGAACAGCAGGCTGGAGGATGTGTTCCCCGGCTGCACTGGCCTGCTTTGCTGCTGCTCCTGCATCAGGCGGATCGCAACCGCGGAGATGTCGGCACACGTGACCCGCACCGGCCAGGGCGAGTGCCTGTAAATCCCGGGGCCCACGGCCGACGTGCCGCAGCCCACATCCAGAGCATTCTTTGGGGCTTCATGTGATGACTGCGGTTGCAGCAGTGGAAGGATGAAGCTCTGGACGGCGTCAAAGCTGAAGAACCACTCAAAGTTCCGCAGGTTTTGAGAACCATCTTTAGTACTGTTGTTCTCCTGATAAAATCTGTCCCAGGTCTCTTTTTTATCCATGTTTTCTATCAAGTCAGCTACAGAAAGTAACAGGAGGCATTAGAAAGGAAACAGCCAATCTTGCATTACATTTTGCTTCCATCTCTAACAGTTTTCCCAAACTAGAATTGCAAAAGAATCTCAGCATTTCTCCCCCCACTGTGTGATCACCAGTAGCTGATTTTACAAGATCCTTGCTGCTTGTTAACCTAAATATTAAGTTAAGTTTCGTATGTAACTCCATCTGCAAATGCAGTTTCCCAGTACTTAGCACTTATTAGACAGCCTCTTGTAATGCTCAAATCCATTATTATGTGCAAATTTGTCCCTCCTAGCATGAAATCATTGCCAATTCATGGGGGTTGAAGGATGTACATGTGCCCCTGGCTCAGGGGTCTCCAACTCCAGTCCTGGAGAGCCACTGTCCAGCAGGTTTCCTATCCTACTTGGCTTCTGCTGAGCCTCACCTGTTCCTGGCATTTAACTGAGGTGCTCATCAGAAGCCAGGTAGGACAGAAAACCTGCTGGACAATGGCTCTCCAGGACCGTAGTTGGAGACCCCTGCCCTAGCTTTTGTCGCTAAAAGAGAAATGATTCGTCCCTCAGATCATGTACAGTGCTAGTGTAGCAAACGTTTGAAGAGACCAATATAGACGTAGCTACACCCGGTAAATAAAGCTAATTCGGCATAAACGGCGAAAAAACATCTGTTACGTCCAACGTCCTCAGCACATATAAAAGTCAAAATGTGTTCTTACATATCTCTTTTAGAGCACAGTATCGTTGTTTTACTCAGTTACGTTGATTATTAATATGAACCAGCCGTCAGATTTGATAAACTGACTCTTGGTTTTAAAAGGTCTGATAATATATAACTGCTTCCTTAGAATCGATCCACGAAATCTACCACATATAATTTATCAAGTAGCACTTAAAGCTAACTGGGCTGCAGGAAGCATCGTTTTCATGCGCTATGAAACACGGACATACAGTAAGTCGTGCAAGGAAACGCTGACGTACTTATCAGGCTGGAATGCCGGCGGAGCACCGGCTTATAATGAAACGCGTGTCTCCTCAGGCTCAGCAGCGCCTTCATGATCACCGCCATATTTCCGCCTGACCTTCTGGGACGTCCTACTGTTACACAGCGCCACCTACCGGTCCGTAAAAAACAAGCCTCTGCTCGCAAACAATTTAAAAACATCAAAAAATGCAAGTGGAAGAGTATTCCACACAGAGTTAAAATATATTTAAAAGAATTCATGTTAAACTTGAAGTATAACGTATTCAAGAGAAAGAATGTATATGTCATTACTTGTTTTTCCACCTATTTTTTTTGGAGGTCAAACCAAAATACGAATGCAAGGGTGTAATACTACGACTGTTACACAAAGTACGCCTGTTATTCCCGTTAATTACGGATTAGCCTTCGTACTTCCCACACGCTGAAGAGTACCATATTTGTGTAAAAATCAGTCAACATCTAAGACAATGTACAGTTTCACACAAAAATAATACTGGTCACATGCCGAATTGCAAGTTGCAAGGACCGAATCAGATATTACACTAGTATTCACTCAGAACCAGTGCGCGAGGTGCCAGTTGTCCCCGTCCTATTCAGTACTGGGTTTTGCTATGCGAACCTCCGAAAAGACAAACGGAAAGACGCCGGCGTTCATTTCACACCTTATTCATAACCGCACAAAGCACCGTGCCGGAAAAGACCCAGAAAGATGCTTATACTTCTTATGAAAGCAAAATGAGTTCTACATGGAATGGTACATCACACGTCGGTGGCGATCTCGAAATGGCAAGACGAAAACGACGACAGACACCTTCCTGGGGGGGTAGGGGGGGGGGGGCAGGCAGCGCTACCCAAGGTAAGCAGGTGAAAGACGGGAACAGGAGTTCAAGCCGACAAATAGAAAGTCGACGGACAAACAAGAACTCACCGATTTCACACGTAAGATTGAAATCCTTTTAATAAAACACATGAAACAGTGTAACAAAGGAAACACTAACAAAAAGGCAAGTCAATACCATTTACAACCACAAAAAAAGAAAACTGTACAACTCTATAAACGCCTGGATTCACTGCTATATTTAAACATTTTATCATTTCAGTTTTTGTGAATGGGGTAACGTAGGTCTGGCCACTGTATACCGTGTTCTTCGTAGATATCATACCGTCATTCTTTTGTACATGTAGATGCATGTTTTCCTCACGGCCGTTTCACTTCCGCCCGCAGAGCAGGTAACCCGATCTGCTATTTGTACAGAATGTCGTAGTGGCCCGGTCGGTAGAGCAGGAAGATGCGAGGCTCACTGCCTTCGGGAAAGACGTGATGGTTCACCGTGCCCCCCTCTCCCCTGTCCATGTATTCCACTAGGATGGAGACGTTCAGCGCCTGGGCCAGAGCGATGATGTGGATGTGATCGCTCTCTTTGGACATCGGCTCCACCTCCTAGAAGAGGGTGGGGGAAACGGCAGTTAATGCTATGCGCAAGAAAACGCCACACCTACAATTTTACACTGACGTGAACTTATTTAGCGTACGTTTATCGAAAGGGATGTACGACTGAGAAAGCAGGGTTGCAGGCCTTCGTCAAGGGCCCAACAGTGAACTTCATATGCCAACCTTCCAATCACAAGTACAGCCTCCCAACACTATTCTCCCTTTTGCTACTGTTCTTCTAACCTCTGGAAATGTAATTTTCCCCTCACTCTATGAAATAAAAACCCCTCAGTATGTCCAACGAGATCCGGCTCAGGCAACCCGAATCTTCGCAGCTAAAGACAATGGGGATGACCTCACCTGCTGACAGAACTCTTTCACAGAGCGGCCGCCTTCGATGAAATGCTGGAAAAAGGTGTGCTCACGCTGCAGGAACCCGGAGGTGAGGAGCCGCAGGTAAACCACCACGTAATCCGACACGCTCTGGTCATTGAACGAGGCCAGCAAATCCACCAAAGATGGCTGCTTCTCACACAGATCAATCAGGTCCATGAACTGTGCAGGGAGTGAGGGGACAGGAAGAGAGCTCAGTGCCTGCATTCTTCTAAACAGATCAGCCTATTTTAAGTAACCCCCACACTTTCTGGGGAAAGAGGGAAAAAAAAAAAAAGGAGTACCAATTTGTACCTTTGCTTGTCACTGGGGCTGTACCCTCAAGGGTCTGCCAATTGTACCCTAGCTGTAGGTAATTGTACCTTTTAAGGTACAGAGATGGACTATGAGGAACATTTTTTACTCTATTGGGGGTACATTAATGTTTGTACCTTGGGGAGTCCATTTCTGTACCTTAAAAGTACCGAATTGTAAGGTACAGCTCCAGTGACAAGCAAAGGTACAAATTGGCACCTTTTTTCTGAGTGCACCCCCCCCCCACGCATGCAGAGTCCACGAGCAAAGCTTTTGTAGAGTAGCCTAAGTATGACACAATTCACATTCTATTCAAAAGTTTAAATCATATAGTTACAATGGGTTTATTTTGTACATCCCATTCCTTAGGGGATGTTCCTAAAACGAGTCCCTTCAGATGGAAGACTAAAGACCGTTTTCCCAATAAATTAGGTCTGTAGGTTCTTGTAAATTCTCAATTGTTTGGCTTTGCTCTGAACGTAAGAATGTTTACAATAAAAAGAATCACAAAAAGAAACACCAGCGTGGATCAGAACTTTACGCTACCAGGAGACGACTCACTGTGTTGTGGAAATCCTCGATGGTAAACTCCGTGAACCCTTGATTCACCAGGTCCAGTTTGCTCTTTGCTGCTACAGCCTTGAACCTAAGAAGTGGAAAGCATGAGAAGGTCACAAGCAGAGCCGGCAAATGCTTGGATTTACAGAAACATAAGTATCTCTATTACAGCCATCACACCCAAGCATAAATACGTTTTATTTTTCCAAAGAATTTATTTTTCACCTTAAGGAACTTTCAGTTTTACATGTTTACAAAAGGTAGAACAACAAAACTTTCAAATAAAACACCATCATCCTATCAGCCCAAAATAAACTCATATTTATTTACCCAAGGAAAACAGAATTTCTTTGATGATCTACTATGTCAGAAATTTGACGCTGTTCTACACTCAGAAAAAAGGGTAAAACTTTGCTTGTCACTAGGGCTGCATCCTTGTAATTGTACATATTAAAAAGGTATAGAAATGGACTCTGAGGAACATCCCAAAGGTACAAACAGCATTAATGTACCATCAATGGTACAGAAATGTTCATCGGAGTCCAGTTCTGTACCTTAAAAGGTACAATTACCTACAACTTAGGGTACAATTGGCAGACCCTTGAGGGTACAGTGCCAGTGAAAAGCAAAGGTACAAATTTTTACCCAATTTTCTGAGAGTGTAGGACAAGTGGTGCAATGCAGATAATTGTTAATTTAAGGGTACAGAGGGCTGAAGCATAAAAAAAAAACCATTGGAATGCTGGGAGATGCAGTCAATGACATCACCTCTGCAGCTCCTTGCTGTCATCCAGAAGCGACTCCAAATGCGAGAAGCCGAAGGCTCTGTAGAAACAGTTCCCATCTGGCCGCGTTTTCCGGATATACGAGTACTTTTTGTGCAGATCCTGTGGGATAAATTAACCCAGGGAGGCTAGGGGTTATAAACATTTTTGTTTTTCCCCGTAAAATCCGCTCGTGTAAATGGGGCCGTCCTCACCTTTATCTTCAGCTGATACACAGTATCATCCTCGGCATACTCCCTCTTCAGAACAGAGAGGTCCTGTCTGTCTGACACTAAAGGGATGCTGGTGGCTATCTGGAAAAAAGACATTACATGCTTAGTGTAACTTTTGGATCCCAAACATTAAATCAGGCTCATCCAGGCTTTCACGTCAAACTGCCGCCACCAAATACATTCCAGCTTGATTGCAGAACTGCTGCCTCTGGGAAATTATCACGGAGATCTGCTGATCTTCCCAGAGCAGCCAACAGCGAACCCAGCAGCACAAACACAGCAGGGCTTAAGAGCCTATTCAGCTGCACGTGCTGCCTCTTGTTTACCAGAAAGGAAGTTGAAAAAATTTTCCAGGCAGGCCTGTCTCTCTCCACTCTAAACAAGCAGCTTAATTTACATAACTGCTCATTCAGCAGAATAGTCTCACTCTGCTGAATGCCCCTGAAAGGAGAAAAAAGGATCGCTGGGCTGACCCGCATGCAATGCTGCAGCTCTGTTTTAATCTGCGCATGCAGGCAGCTGTGGTGAATGTTAATGACGATGGCAAAGCCATGCAACTGTAGTAGCTTCATGCAGAGGCCGCAGCAGCGCTCAGAATAAACCACATTTTCCTGCTGCTAACAGCTCTCTTAGACTGACATGCCACCTCATGCAGGAACACTCTGGATATTAAAAACATTGCTATTTAAACATTTAGACACCTATTATAATCACTTGCATTGATTTTGCGCCGCTTTCCGGGTAGAAAAACCTAACGTGCATCGAAAATGTGATGCTTTAAAACACGCTAGCCAACATGTGCCTAAAATCTGACATGTTTTAATGGGCAATTGTGTGCCATCCAAGTGCATTCAAGTGCAGTTTGTTTGCCAAGGAACATTCCACAGCAGCAGTGGTAGCCAAACATACGAAGCAGGCTGATTTAGGACTAACCTGCCCAAGCCTGGTAAACACATAAGGACAGCATTCGGAGCTTAAAAAAAAATCTGACAGGGCAACTTGTATAGATTGGTTTTTACACTGGAACTGAAATCCTACTATTTAAAAGGCCTTTGGAAATGCAAGCTGTGTGAGAGTTAACCTCGAACTTCCTTAGAATTCCAATGACTAAGAGCATTAATCAACATCCCTTAAAAAAATAAAAGCCTTATCGTAATTCAATATATGCATTTCAGGGTGAGCAGCATGATTTCTGAAGTAAGACCAGCAACAACAGACAGCATTTGTCAAAAAGACAACAGAGAGAAACAGGCCTCAGGAGGAGACAGAAAGGACAAAAAATCCCAAAGGCTATGCAAATCCGGTGGCCCTGTAGATGGCAGTGTACTGCACAAACAGAATTCAAAGTCTTGACCTTCATATGTTTTGCTGGAAAATCTGAATTTCAAATAGTTTTGTGTAAAATGACTGAAGAATTAAGACATTTTAGGGGAGGGAGACATCATGAAAGTAAATAACTGAATATAATAATCACATAAAATGTTACATCCCAAGACTTCCCCAGTTTTTCTTCAGAGGCTCTCCAAAGCCTTCAGCCAGAGATCACAGCAGGAATGCACCATGCCGACTTTAAACTTGCCACCTGGGAAAACCAAGCACTCTTACCTCCTGCTGGATTCGGTCCTGCTGAGCCATTATGGCCTCATCGTACGCAAGGCAGTTCACCCCTGTTAAAATAGAGAATGCTCACTGCAATCAGAGCACTAATGAGGATGTAATGCAGATATCAAACTGTGATGTTTGGGCCCTTAAATTAACAGCAGCGTTTCCCAGGCTGGCCCTCGGTGACCCTCAGACAGTCCATGTTTTTGCTCCCTCCTGGCTCCCTGCCAGACAGTCCACATTTTTGCTGGGACAGAGGAAAAATGTGGACTGTCTGGGGGGGGGGGGGGGGTGTCCCCAAAGACCAGGTGGGAAACACTGCTTTACAAGGCTAATGCAAGACTGATGATAAAAAAAGTTTGTAATTTATACGAATCATTAAGGGTATTCAAGAGCAATAAATTCAATGCAACGAATATCATAATACTGACTTAAAACAAAGAAACCAAAAGTCAGATAACTGGCCAATTCTTGTGACGACTCTTACACACTGTTGTTCTAGACTGACACATGTAAGAAGTGTACGTTGAGTGACGTTTCAGAATTTACACAAAGGAAAAAATTAAATAAACCCGGGTATCACCACCGCGTGTGGACATTTCGCTGACTTGTGGGGGGTAGACGTACCAAATATGACTGAGAATATAGATAAAGAAATGGAGTTATTGCAAAGAGAAGAAAATGAGATAACGTAAGTGACCTAGTTTAATCAGTACGCACTTATGAGAGGAAAACTGCCAGACTACTTTTGATCAGGCTGACTGAAAGTGGGGTCTTAGTAAACAGCTCCAGGTTATCATGTCCATCTCCCCTAACTCATATGTAACCATTTTGCTAGCTAGGTAGCGATGCTGACAAGAAATATTTCTTCAATGGCTACGCAAATTGCTTTTTGGCTTTGTAAACAAACATTCGAGGGATAGAGATGCGCCTCGTGGGTATTTATAACAACACGGCTTCAAGATATGTCGGGAGGAAACAGACGTGTGATATTTCCCAAGTCGAAACTCTGTCTCCTTCTTTGTGTAGCTGAGTGCGCCTCGTTACCCTAGCCTCCCTCCATCTTTCCCGTTTCCCCCCCAAAACGTTCAATGTAAATAACAGTCTAGCCACAGCATGATTCTTCTTCAAAATATCTGGACCTGGACCGTAGAAGTCGAGAACTGGCGTGTCAGCACACCGCACCGACCGAGGCCTCGAACTGTCAAACAAGTTTGCTTTCGGACTCACCTTCCATCTCTGCCTGTGTTGTTTCCTGCTGCTCCTCCGCCATCTTGATCTCCGGCAAAATTCCCTTCGCCCTCCGTTTCCGGGTCACGCGCCTTATTGGGCATCCTGACGTAAAAACCTGGTTCAGCCAATCAGGGTTTTACCGGCGTACCGGTGCATTGTAGGTGCGCGAGTCAAGCCTGTGGCTTGGTCCGGTGTCTTATATGTTGGCGTTTTACTTTCACCTAATTTCATATGTATGCATCCATTGTAGTGTCTTATGCTAAAATAACGATTTATTCAGTCGTTTTTTTAAATGTATTACGCTTCACTGCAAAAGGTACTTTGTTTTGCACCTTTCTCGCGTTAAAAAGGACTAGGTCACCAAAACAGTAGGCAATCTTGGAATTCCTCATCTAAAAAGTGGTTCTTTTTTCGCTGGGAGGTAATTGAATGTGAACTATTGATTTGAATGTATTCACTATGAAATAATAGCTTATTGCTTAATTTAGTGAATGGCTGTAATTTGATTGTAAGTCTGTAAGAGGTTAACATGGTAAGTTAAACGCGTGCAGGATAATCATAAACAAAGTGTGTAGCTTGATTTTGCATAAATGCTAAAACTACTTTAGGAAGGCGATTATTGATTCAAATAATGTACAGAGTTTGCACATTCTTCCCGTATATGCGTGTCTTTTCTGTGACAGTCACCACACACGTGATCCGTGATCCGAGCCCCAAGAAAGAATGACGGCTTTTCCATAACGTAACTCATATATTTTGCCCTGAGGTGACTGGAAGCGGGCCATTCTCACCAGAAAAATAAACTGAACCATGTGGTTTAAACGAATACTGACGGCTCGACTGATATTGTAGTAGAGTGACATATTATCCAAGGTTTTAAATGTCTCTTTGTTCTACAGATTTATAAACATTTAGCCAAATTATTTAGTGCCGATTGTAAGTATTCGCTAAATCAAGTTTTTATATTGCAACAAAATAACCAATTCACTAAATAAAGGTTCATGGATGGTGTCACATAAGTGATTATGCATATGGCTTAATTCATATCAACATGAAGACTAGTGCAACAGTTTATACTATAGTGAAATACATCAAATAAATTCAGTATAGGCAACTACGCAAAAATATATCATGATATATTAACAGAAATAGCAAAACAAGCATTTTATTGTGATTATTGTTTAATGCTTTTGATATGACTATATGCATTTACATGTATATAATGGGATTTCAATACGGGATGTTTTCATAGACACAAATTTTCTGAAAACTGATGTTCACAAAAGACAAAGAACAATGACAGAGAAATGCATGTTTTGCTGAAAACCATTCTTTCGTTAGTAGAAGTGGTTATGACCGTGAACTGTTTATCATAATCAGTCAATATACATTCCCTTAGAAAGAAAATTCTTACATACAACAGCAAAGAAGGACTATGTTTCAGAGGAATGAAAAATAACCTGTGTACATTCACTTCAGTGCATGCATATCTACACACAAATAACGACACACAGCTAATTGTAATTTTTGTTTAGTTTTAGTCTGGTGTTTCCAAAGCACATCCATGAGTGGATTCCTTTTTCCATCACCTAAGTCTTCAGTGACAGTCTTCAGCTGGAGTACAAATTCAGACGCGATGGGTAATGTGTTTGTCAGACAGAAAAAGCTGTTTTGAAGTAAATGTATTTACTTCAATAAATTATTTTGTAATTTTGGTGGGTTGGTTATATTTATCATCTACCAAAGGGTGGTGAAAAACACAGAGTGCAAGCTTTGACACTGGTTGGTTGTTTTTCCAGATCAGCTTGACTCGTGGTTGTATATTGTTATAAATGCCATCTTACCACCTTGTAAAGGCTGTCCATAATGGAGATATACATTCCACCATTCCTTTGAGATCCTCTCCTAACATTCACAGCTTACCAGGAAGCAAAGTTCTAGATAATGTGGTTTATAGGATCTGTCTGCGGCAACAATGTTCAGATAGCCTTTTATAGATTGTTTAATATTATCAAAATGCAGGTTGAACACTCTGTAGTTACCCTACTAATTAAATATAAATGGTTAAACGTTATTGGACCACTTGGTAAGTGTGGGTTTACATTAGTTGTGGCAGGTTTACTAATTTCACAAACTTACATCAATTTTCGGCACAATCTAAGGGGAAGGATTTCGGGCCTAATAGACTGTATTTTCTCCTTTCATAGTACGTACTTTTTTGCTATCATCTATTTCGCAGAATCCCTGATAGCAGCAGATGCAAAGGCTTGGACCCCGGAAACACTTAGAGTGGGTCATCTGGAGCATTAAGCTTGCTAAGGTTGGGTTCCACCCCCCAGATTTCTCGGCCATACTGTGCAATGGTTCGGTCACTGGAGAACTTCCCGCAGCCTGCGATGTTGTGGATCACCTTCTTGGTCCATTCTTTGGTGTTCTGTTGGGAGCGCAAATGTCAAATGCTTAGCGAGAAAGTCTATATGAGAACATAATAAGAAAAGAGGCCTATAAATGCAAGGATAGGAATCTGGAGCCAGTTCTGACCTTGTATAGAGCATTGACTTTATCTTGACATTTCATGTAGTCTTCATAGTCGGCGAACACCTTAAAACTGCATGACAGGTACAGCCTCGCAGTCAGTCATAGTCAACATAAATTCAAACACTGAGAATCAGCCCGCATGTGTTAGTAAATATGAGAATTCATACCGGTCATTATTCATGAGCATGTGAACGATGTCCTTGAAGAGATCGGGCTGCTGAGGGCTGAAGTACCCTCCTCCGATCTGGTCAATGGCCTGCTTGAGCTCAGGAATACGGCTGCAGTATTCTGTAGCATTATAACTGGTGGAATAAAAGGAAAAAAACAATCTAGCCAACTACATTTTAAGTGGCCATACTGTGATACAAAGTGTATCCCAAGGAGCATTTAAGATAGAATGCGATGTGAATGCGATGATACTATACCACAGATGCAGATTAACGTCAACCTTATATTTGTTTTATTAGCTAGACATTGGTGTTAGATTAGTTATTAATATAAAAATAAAATCTGTAACACTGATAGAGACATTCAACTTGAACATTACAAATCGGATAATTCGGATTTCAACAACATCCGAAAGCTTTTGAGCTATATTTAATTTCTCTTATAACTGTCGTTTCACCCACCCTCCTCAACAACCCGGCACCCGCATCTTTACCCCTAAATTCATCCTTTTACCCCTTTCTGTCCATGGCTTCCACATCTTCCACCCTCATGCCAAAGATGAAGAGGTTCTCCTCGCCTGCCTCTTCTGCC